TATTTGTGCATGTGCCTGCATAAGAGTGAAAACTGCTCTATAAATTAATATCACATAAGCTTTTGATTTACTCTGAATGCTCTAGTCCAGGGGTCGCCAACCTTTTGGACCTCAGAGACCACCAAACTCATAATTTTAAATCCTGCGGACCACTAATATGAATTTTGACTGACAGTGGCTTGCTAACGTTGGTGGGAAAGTCGGTCCCGTATTCCAGAGCTGCAGTAGTCACAGGACTGGCCCTTGGTCATCCTGGAGCAACTGCTCCTCCACCCGGGTGCACCTGCCTGCCATGGACTGGAGGAGCTGCTCCAGGATGACCAAAGGGCCAGTCCTATAACTACTGCAGCTCTGGAATATGAGACCAACTTTCCCACCAATGTCAGCAAGCTACCCCGGGGCGGATTTCCCTCCCCTATTGGTTTTACCTTCCAGTTCCAGCTCATGTAGCTCTATTCAAGGTAAGGTTTGCACTTAGCCGAAGGGTGGGGGCCAGCAGGTGGGTGGGCCATGTGGGCGGCGCAGCCTTGTGTTCCTGTGCAGCCTGGATTAATTGCTTTGGAGGAGTGCTGGGGGGGGGGGACATTTCTCTGCGGACCACCAAAATTTTCTCACAGGCCACCAGTGTTCCCCAGTCCATTGGTTGGAGAACACTGTTCTAGTCCATGTCTAATATTCCTCACTCAACTAGCAACTTCTAAACTACTGCCTATGGTATGTTTAGTCAATCCATACACAGAATAAAGATCAGTTAATCTGGGCCACATTCTCTAATTAATTTTGAATTGGTCAATCCACCTTTTTGAATTTGGATGAGATACTTAGCTGTAAATAAACTATAGACAAATAGTTTGACATCTACAGTTCTGCAAGAGGAACTAGCAGCAACTTCTATGGAACAGTTCTTTAATACATTTTTAATCCAATCCAATCCATTATATACTGAAAAAAGTAGCACTTCTTAAGGAACAAGTTCAGCAGGATTTCTCTCTTAAAAAACAGGTTTGGCAAGACCTATGAAAAATGTACTTACTACATGAAAGTTAAAGGACAAACAGGGTTACACTATTCCAATGTATAAGATTCTTTTATAAGTAATAAATAAGAAAATCACTACAGTTTCTATGCAGCTCTTACCACCATCAAGACTCCTGGAAATTCGTTTGCTTGAGGTCCGTTCAAAGTGTGGGGCAGGTCTATCTATGAGATTGCTAGCCTGGCGTGTTTGTGCTTGGGTACGTCCACTATAACGGAACTTGGAGCCCAGTGTGAGAAATTTGGCTTTTGGAGGCTGTTCTGGTGATACAAGCCTGCAACCATGAAAAAGTGAACAAGGTCATTTCCAGACTGTAAAAGGATAGTCACTAAACACAGTACTTCCTTTTTTCTTTTTAGGAATTATAAAACAGTCTGTACATTTCTGAAAATATTCTCTTCAGTATTGCCTTTTTGTCATATGTAACAGACTGTATGTACGTATAAAGACTACCTCATATTTTACTTTTTTATGATAAGAAGGATGACATTTTATTATAAAATTCCTGCCAAAAATTGTAATTCATCTGCTAGAGCAAGATTTCAAATGCTTTTAAGCCATGGAATGAAAGGAAAGGAAAATAATGAAAGGAAATTACTGGAAGCCCAGATCAAGACAAAGCTATAGTGAAAAAAACTGGCAGCATATGAGTGAATCCCCCCCCCCCTTAAGTTTCTAATAGACCTATCAAGTTTTTGTGGAAGTCTAGAGTTATATGCGACATAATTTCAAAAACCTTGTGCTAGAGCAGTATTTTTCAAATTTTAAGATATGTGGAATTCAGCTCCCAGAATTTCCCAGCTAGCATACTAGAGGATTATGAAACAGAGACAAAAATATTTTCCAATGGCAGTCTTCATATTTTAGTGAATAGATAAGAGTGTTCATATATTTTCTCTTCTACCACATTCCCTATTTTTCTATGTTTAAATTTTTAATTCCTAGAAAGAATCCTAGGACTTAAGTACAGTACAAGGCTATTTTAATATTACAGAGGAAGTAAGTTTTAGAAGGTCTGTATTTAAACGTATAAAAGGTAATCAAATGAAAGAAAAAAATAAGAGGCAAACTAACCCTAACATGAAGGAAATTGACACTTTTGGACTAAGCTGTTTACATTTATGACAGTGGGACCTGCTGCATTATTTTCCTCAGAAGCTACCATGAATATACATCATTTGTTGGAAGTCATAATATGAATGACTATTTATTTCAAAGACACCTGCATAAAATATTTGAATTTAAATGAATTAAATGCCAGTAACAAAACAGTATTTTTTTATTTTCCTCTCCTCAAAGATTGCTTTTATGTGGTGGTACAGTATTCATGGAGCTCATGAAGACGAAAGTTGTCTTAATCATAATTATTATAATTTACATGCTGCTTCATAGTGAAAGACTGTGAGGATTATAAAATCAATAATACGATTGCAATTAATCTAATGGCCATTTGCAGACAACATGATTTTACTAGTCTAAAAATGCATTTTTGAGGAAACATTTTGTTATGGCTCCCCATTAATGTAATAAGGATGGTTTCATTCAAATATCTTGGGAGTAAGTTATTCCCAAGGAGGATCATTGCTGAATACACTTGAGCCTGGGCTCACTGAAGATGGCACTCCCTCTATGGTAGAACTATCAAGATGTCCACACTCCCACCTTACACTAAACAACCATATTCAATTCAGAGAAGGCAGCCACAGGGGTATCCCAGCCCTGGACCATTTAAGATTTAAAGGTGACAACCAGCACCTTAACTGGCAGCAATAATAGTATTATATGGGTAAACCTTAGAACAGACATAATTACACTAGCTGAAACTTCAAGGATGATCTTTAGAGGTAATCCCATGAAAACGCATTGCAGTAATCCTCTGCTGTCAAGTGACACAGGCATGAGTAACTGTGAATAAAATGTCTCGATTCAATAAAGGTGACAACTGGCACACATTATAACCCTGGGATTGTGGGAATTTGGATTGGGAACAAGCTGCAGCTCAACCCTAGCAAGACTGAGTGGCTTTTGGGCCCTTAGGTTCCAGGAACTTACCATTTTTGAAGTTGGATGTGGTGCACTACCCCAATCAAACCCTATGCACAATTTAAGGAGTTGATGAGTGGCTATACAAATTGAATAAATACTGTTTTGTTGTTACTGTTCTACGTGAACCACATTACTAGAGCTGGACAGTAACACAAACTCCAATAAATAAATGAAAAACTAAATAAATAAATAACACACAGTATCCCATACACAGTGACTGAGGATGCAATCTCTCCCCCACTCCCCATCAACTACTGATTAGAACCAGCTTCTCAGGAAGCAGGTTAAACACCAAAGCTTCACCCTGACTTTCAGCCCTGGCTGTGCTACAAAAGGTCAACAGGGTCCATGGCACTAAAGGCCACCCAGAGGTCAAGGAAGATCAAGATAATTGTACTGCCTCTTTCCTCATTCTGCCAAATATCAAAAAGAGCAACCAGTGCTGTTTTGATTCTCTACTTAGGTGTAATTTGTAACTAAATAGAATCCAGATAACCTATTTCGTCCAGGGCAATCCAAAATTGTAATTGACAATTGTCAAGTTGTTATAAAATAGTTGGATTGGATGATGATTACTCAAGGAGAACAGTTATTACCACCACCTCTTTCAAAATGGAGGGCATATACCACTACCTATATTCAGTTCCTCATGGTTCCTGGCTGCTTTCACTAACCAGGTAGAGCAAGGAACTAATTAACAGATAGCAAAGCTAACAATGCAGATGAGACTGCCTTATTTTGTTAGCAGTCATATGCTGAAAACAATCCAAATAATTCCAGAAATAAACCTGTTATCCCAGCTGGTGTCCAATTTCAAGTTAATATGAGTGATTTTATCTTCCAAATGTTTAGTGAAGTCATAGCAATGGACTAGTAGATCATTTTCCAGTTTTATTTTTTTCTAAAAGGGACTATGAATTTAATACTACAGGTGAAACTCAAAAAATTAGAATATTGTGCAAAAGTTAATTTATTTCAGTAATGCAACTTAAAAGATGAACCTAATATATGAGATAGATTCATTACATGCAAAGCAAGATAGTTCAAGCTGTGATGTGGCATAATTGAGATGATTATGGCTTACAGCTCATGAAAACCCCAAATCCACAATCTCAGAAAATTAGAATATTGTGAAAAGGTTCAATATTCTAGGCTCAAAGTGTCCCACTCTAGTCAGCTAATTAAGCCATAACACCTGCAAAGCCTTTAAATGGTCTCTTAGTCTGGTTCAGTAGGAATCACAATCATGGGAAAGACTGCTGACCTGATAGTTGTGCAGAAAACCATCATTGACACCCTCCACGAGGAGGGAAAGCCTCAAAAGGTAATTGCAAAAGAAGTTGGATGTTCCCAAAGTGCTGTATCGAGGCACATTAATAGAAAGTTATGTGGAAGGGAAAAGTGTGGAAGAAAAAGGTGCACAAGCAGCAGGGATGACCGCAGCCTGGAGAGGATTGTCAGGAAAAGGCCATTCAAAAGTGTTGGGGACTTTCACAAGGTGTGGACTGAGGCTGGAGTCAGTGCATCAACAGCCACCACACACAGACGGAACCTGGACATGGGCTTCAAATGTTGTATTCCTCTTGTCAAGCTGCTCCTGAACAACAAACAACATCAGAAGAGTCTTACCTGGGCTAAAGAAAAACAGAACTGGTCTGTTGCTCAGTGGTCCAAAGTCCTCTTTTCTGATGAGAGCAACTTTTGCATCTCATTTAGAAACCAAGTACCCAGACTGATCTGGAGGAAGAATAGAGAGGCACACATTGCAAGATGCTTGAAGTCCAGTGTGAAGTTTCCACAGTCTGTGTTGATTTGGGGAGCCATGTCATCTGCTGGTGTTGGTCCACTGTGCTTCATTAAGTCCAGGGTCAATGCAGCCGTCTACCAGATTTTGGAGCATGCTTCCTTCCACAGACAAGCTTTATGGGGATGCTGACTTCATTTTCCAGCAGGACTTGGCACCTGCCCACACTGCCAAAAGCACCAAAACCTGGTTCAATGACCGTGGGATTACTGTGTTTGATTGGCCAGCAAATTTGCCTGACCTGGGTTCATAGAGGATCTATGGGGCATTGCCAAGAGAAAGATGAGAGACATGAGATCGAACAATGCAGAAGAGCTGAAGGCCGCTATTGAAGCATCCTGGTCTTCCATAACACCTCAGCAGTGCCACAGGCTGATAGCTTCCATGCCACGCCGCATTGAGGCAGTAATTGCTGCAAAAGGGGCCCAAACCAAGTACTGAGTATATATGCATGCTTATACTTTTCAGAGGTCTGATGTTCTGTGTACAATCCTCGTTTTACTGATTGCATGTAATATTCTAATTTTCTGAGATTGTGGATTTGGGGTTTTCATGAGCTGTAAGCCATAATCATCACAATTATGACAAATCACAGCTTGAACTATCTTGCTCTGCAGGTAATGAGTCTATCTCATATATCAGGTTCACCTTTTAAGTTGCATTACTGAAATAAATGAACTTTTGCACAATATTCTAATTTTTCAAGTTTCACCTGTATTAAATCAAGATTTGAACTTCTTAGGATTTTCTGCATAATGGCATCAGTTGTAAGAAGGCAATATAAAATAGTAGAAGACTTAGAACAATTGGCACTATTAGAAATATGCTTTTGTCTCTATTCAGAGTAAGAATGAAAAAGGCTTGGGTGTTTCTTTATACAAGATGTTCAATGGGAAAATGTGACCAAAAAATAAAAAATATATCACTATAGAAAAACCAGAAATTATAAAGACATTAATTTGCAATTCATTAACCAATGAAGAACACTGTTCAGCAAAAAAAAAAAAACTACATTTAGCTGAAGATAACTAATACTTTAAAGAAAAGACTGAGTATTGCTTGTAGGAAAGGTCATTAGAAAATGATTGGGCCACCACAGAAAAAATCCTTGAAATCTCACAGGTGTCACAAAAAGCAGGCATAAAAATCTGCATGGAGGGGAAATTAAGAGTAGTTCCTGTTTCATTGGATGACCATAATCACTAGATACTAAAGCTTTCATTAACACTTCTGTTGCATATACAGCTTAAGATAGGATACACACTATGCAGTTATTTTATTAAAAAGTTAACAGCTTCCAAGATTTTGCTGGTGTGTGTACATTTAAAAAAATGCATACCAGGCTCCAAAACTGACTGTAACACTGGTGCAGTGTTACACCTACAAATTTTTGTTTCCCTTTGATTTGAGAACACATTTTTCTTAATGCAGGCTTTAAGCTAAATCAAAGTGTAATTTGGTCCTTCAGAATTAAATTGGTACAATTGAATCAGACACAATTGTTAGTGGCTTTATAGATAAGTGTCTGACACCTCCACAAGTGAGAGTACTTCTTCCTAGGACATTCCATTGATATTCCTGATCCCATCAGCAGCCTTATCCATTATCGCTTGCTAATCATTGCTTCATGGAAAGTAATTTTTACATCAACTAGGACCAAAAAAGTTTATTTAGGGCTATGAAATTAAAATTTTCACAGGTTCTGAAATAAAACTCTCAGCAGCCCCTACCAGCTAAATATATGGTATGATGAAAGTTGTAATTCAACAGCATCTATAATTGGAAAATCAGAATTTCTGCCTTAATATGTTGTGGCAGTAAGACTCCTGTTACAAACATTTCTTTATGTGTTATCTGGAAAGCAATTTCTATGGGTAGATGTCACATTAGTGTCAGTAAGCTTATTCCTTATGTTAATTATCTTCAGGGGAAAAGAGATTAGAACTGATATATAGATTTTAAGGGTTATAATCCAAAGCATTAGTCAGTTTGTAGATTGAATACAGATAGTCCTTACCAATTGCCATGATCAGTGACTGAAATTACAACGGTTCTGAAAAAAAAGTAACTTCAAGACTAATGCCTACATTTACAACCTGCAAAGCAGAGATTGGAGAGTGGGAAATAAATCAGGCTGTTTGCATAATATGCTGGCATCAGTGCACTACTTCCAATGTGCATTCCCCATTGTGTGCCTCCTTACTCTCTTGTAATTCCTTACCCTCCAATGAAAGTGAATACAAACACTAATTTACTTCTTGCTAATTTTCTCATTGTTGGGGTGAGCATTCTAAAGGGTGGGGGAATGGTTAAGAGGCAAACAAAAACTGAAGATGTGAAACTGATTAGTCTGGTCAGTTTTGTGAAAGTTCTCCCAGCACCTCTAGAGTGACCTCTGGGGTGGGGGTGGGGAAATGAAAACACAGTCCAATCACATGATTTCCCTCTTAGCAACCACTTCATTTAGTGATGAAGTTGTTGGTCACAATTGTGGTCAGTAAAACACAATTTAACTAGCATTAATGTAACCTTTAGCATTAATATAATCCTAAAGATCTTTTATACTATTAAAAATGTGGACTCAGGCACAAAACAGGCAATTCTGGAATAAAGTATGCAATCTCAGAAGAACATATTTGCAATCTAGAATTTAAGTAATATGTAAGTATAATATAGCAAGTGTAAGAACTACCTGATAACAAACAGAATGCAAAATAAATGATTTAGGATCCATTAGATCAGCTAAAGCTTCATATAGAGCATCAACTTCTTCTCCATACCAAGTCATTCCTTGTAAAGCCTTGCTTCTTTTCAATAAAAGATTACAAAATGTTTCCAAATGGAAGAAAATCATTCTAGAACATTTTTCCTGACAAATTTCAAGACTCTCAATGCTAAAATTAAAATGGTGATGCCAGAAGATATTAATACATGATAATACGTTTTCTGCATTTTGTGCAGTTCACTCTCCTTTTTCCTACTATTAGAAGTTTTTTTTTTTCTGTCTTCCATCTCTAATAAAATTTTGTTGGTTTCTGGATTATGATTTGAATCTAGATTGAATCAAAAAGTCTTTAGCATCAATGCTTTCAAAGTTCCAGTATTTTCTGCCACCCTGAGCAGGTTTTTAAATATAACTCTAATGAGACTAATCAACAGAATGCACAAACACAGATATTGAGTTTTATTTTAATTTGTTTTATTTTTACAGCTGTGAGTTGCAATCACCCAGCACCATTAAAATTTTCGTCCCCAGTGAAATCATTTTCAGGAATGAATGAAAACAGAGCCCCATATGCTGGGCAGTTTGATATCAATAGACATGCTCTTTCAGATAACCTTGTCTTAAACCACTTAAGGTTTAAGAGGCTAAAACTAGCTCCTTAAATTAGAATGAAAGCAACCTAACTCCGCTAGAACAGATGTAGCAAATAAGCTTAACATGATCACTTAGCTCCTACAAACATGTGTTGCATTTTGTGCTAGGAAGTTCTTACTCATATATAAGGGTAGTCTTCCATAAAGTGTATAATCAAACCCCAATGATTTAAATTTCAAACAGACTATAGAGGGCATATGCATATTTATACAATATATATTTAATTATTAATTAAAAATAAAAGTAAATTGGAGAAACTAGCAGTTTTGGTAAGAAGAACAAATAGCAGATAAAATTGAATTCCCAGTACAAGGAAAAAGAAGCCTGGGATAAATCTAGTTCTTGAGTCCAATAAATTGTCTGCTGAAGCTTTCACTGGAAAGCAAAAAGTAGATATAGTTTGCAGGTCAAAAAGCCAATGAACAGTAGCAGCACTTTCTGTCTGCAGGGAAAACTGGAATAATAAGGCAATGTTGTTTTCACTCAAAATTCTTTCTCTGGTAAATTCTCCTCTAACAAAATATTCTATATTACCATAGCTAAGTTATTGCAGCCTACACTTTTATCAAAGGGAACAAAAAAAATCTACTATAATGAAGGCAAAAAGTGTTGAAGAAATACACCTTAAAGATGGGAGAATATTAGGATTCTAAACAAAAATATATTTCTATCAGAATCCTTTCATTCTATTTATTGTCTGTTTTTACCATTGACACTGGTAGATGCCCTAGATATCTATCAATATGTTACAGGATTGCCTAGCATAAACATTTTGCAAAACCATAATGAAGCCCACTGTATCATATTAGAGATTACTAAAGAAATAATCAACTTATCATCTATTGTAGCGTAACAATATTTTAGGAGAAAAATCTAGTATATAGCTTGAGGAAAAAACCTAAAGACTTTTTGTTTTGTTATATTTTTAAAAGGAAGCTCTTTTATGAACAGCTCAGGAGGCTTTTTATATTTAAAACTTTTCCTTAAAAAACATAAAAGCCATGGAAATCCCATAACCCACTAATTAAAATGTAAGTTTTACCTATAAAAAGTATGATGCTCCACACAAACCTTCCATAATCGTTTTGCAGCCCTATGATTTGACAGCTTAAAGCCAATAGTACTCTCAAACTGTTCCAGCTGAAAAAAATTAATATCATCAGATTAATACAATTTTTTAAAACCATCTGGGCTAGTTAACTGTTTGGACTTCTTTTTCAATATTATATTTCTTATTATGATTCATTTTCATTACTGCCTTCAATTACTGACACTAATAGTTAAGGAAAATAAAGAATACCCCTCCCTAGTGTTTATAAATAAGTTTTGAATGTCTTTACTGGCTGATTCCCAGGATCCTACTGACAACTTTTCATACATCGTTTTTCCATTTCATAAATGAAATTTCCTTTATAAATGTTGTAAAAAATATGTTCATTTTTATTGAGCTTCATATGCAAACTAAATTTTATTTTTAAAAAAATAAAAGATTAAAGCTCCAATCGTACAGACAATACGAGTATCTATCAGACAGTAAGTCATACTAAATCAGTGGGGATTAATTTTTGTTAGCATTTGATTTCATTTACTCTTAAACTTAATGTAATCATTTTCAGTCACTTGGTCCAGTGGATAAGATCCTGGCCTAGAAACCAGAAGAGTTCCAGGCCAGGTGACTTTGGGCCAGTCACCCTCTCTTAGTCCAATCCACCTCACGTAGTTGTTGTTCTGGGGGAAAGAGGCAGGAGTATTGGGTATGTTCACTGCCTTGAGTTAAATATAAAATCATCATCATCATCACCATCATTGTCACCATCATCTCTTAAAATGCAATTTCATTAACAACTCTCAACCAGAGGCTCAAATGCCTTACTCAGAGGCTACAATTCAAACATAATGTAAATACAGATGACTAACTAAACACTTTCTTGGAAGTCTTTTCCATAACATTTAACATACAGAAAAGCTATTTCTAAACAAGACAAAATTACTGCAAAGTAGGAACTGGTCTGAATTAAGAATGAAAATGATAGTATCTCTATCTATTTCCTATTATAGTTAATGTTCAGGCAAAAACATGCATTCATTTTTGAATAATTAAGCTTTGCACTAATGAGCTGCATATAGTACACATCTGGTAAGTGTCAAAAAGCAAGTCTACAATTGATTAGATTCCATACTAATTCATTTGTAGGACAATTTTTTTAATGGCATTTGGAATCTTTTAAATTGCCTATGAATTATTAGTGAGCACCAAATGCTTTAAAATATGCCTTACTGTTCATTACTTATGGATCTAATCTGGTGTATGATTCTGAAATATGAAGCAACAAAAAAAACAAAGTGCTGGAGAAATAGCAAAGCCACGGAGAATATGTTTTTAGACATATTCAATATTGAGAACATCTCAGGAAGGCCATGCACCAGCTAAAAGAAGCCTTTGAGTAACTATGGCTGCTTTGCACTAGGGCTCTTCAACAGATCTAGTATGGTTTGTTTGTTTTTTTAAGAAAAAACACTTTACCAGGCAGACACATATCACACTATGAACTATTGAATTAGCTGACATATATTCATCCAATTTCTGACATGTAAATTATGATATCCATGTACTTACTTCAGTTGGTCTGATTTTAATATAGAAATTACTGCGTTTGTAAGAAATCTTCAAAATTTTGGGCCATGCAAAACGATTTATTCGAAGTCTGTCTTTGTAAATGAGTAGCCCATTGGCACAAACCCCCAACATGATGTCCACACCTTCAGAATCCTATCAAATTAAGAATGAAAACGATTTCAACCCCATTACAGTAGGAATATACATAGGCAGGCAGATAATAAGGTAGCAGGGGTAGAGAAGACATGGAAATTTAGCTGAGCAACAATACTGAATCTAAGAAAATACTTCAGAAGTGGACAGACAGGCAGTTGATAATGAAGGAAATATTGTAAAATTATAAAAGTCATTGCCTTGTTATATAAAGTTACATATACGAACTGAATATCAAAACAGTACACAGAAGATAGACATCCATCATATGAATGGAAACAAAACACATTTTTAAAAAGCTTTAATGATCAATAATCAGCAATATATTGTTTAATCCATTCAATTTTGTAGCATGCAATATTGTACTTAATATTTCAAGTCATTAACTATCCAAATATTTGTCAAGTATTAGTAGAGGAAACCCATCCTTTAAAACGAAAACATGGGAGAACCCAAGTTTTTTACAATAAATATGTTATAATAAAGTATTTTATAGATGTAATTTCGAGGGGAAAAGCAAACATATACACACTCCTATATGCTAAAAGTTGTGAACAATACTTGCTCTGTGGAATTTTCATTCATCCCACCTACTATTCCAGATCATTTTAGAGCGTTCACTATTTCCCAATTTCCACCATTGTACTAACTGCAGCAAAATGCTGATAACAATAAAAAAAAGTTCCTAGCTGTGAAACTGCCAGCATGATAGTCTTTCACTAATACAGTTAACAATAGTCCTTTAAATGTACTGAGTGAATAACAGCTTGGCAGCTTCACAAATATCCCTTTAGGGCAAGTGTTCAGATTTTTTTTCCTTTTTTTCAAATGCCAATGGGCTAATAAAAGTTCTGGATACTTAGACTGGCAATTTGGTTTTTTTGTTGGGTAAGGAGAGGATGAAATAGGTGTTTTGCTACTCCAAGATTTGCAATGACTTTCTGCTGAAGGCTTTGATTCAATAGAACTTTCTCCAGTAAATCAGCTAGGAAAAAATTGACTAAAATATTGGAGTCCCCTACCTGATCTCAACATTCCAAAACCTGTAATAGTACATTTACTATTTACACAGCCGATTTACAGAACCTGGGACTATAAATGGTGTTATGTGCAAACAATATCACTTCTCCCATTCCACTTACCACCTACTACAGAAGCAGCAGCACTGGGGAAAGGTGCTTTCCCCCAATAGTATGGATCATGGAAAAAGCAGCAATTCTGCATTTGCTTGTGTATGTTGGCTGAGAGAATGTGTAAGGGGGAATGCGACAAGAGAATGCTGTTCAGAAGATACAGCTCTTGATTAAAACAAGCCTAAACGAGCATGAAATGACATATATGCAATAAAAAATGTTTAAAATATCTATTATAGATTTCAAATTATTCTCCAAATATCCCTGTCTTTCAAGCAAGAGAAATAGAATATATCAAGGACTACATCTCTGATACAGGATGGATTTAGATTGATTCATACATCTGCCAGGAATTCTACTTCCCATATTCTAATCACATATTTACTTCCTGTATTCTAATCTCCCTTCAGACTGATTTGGCACCAGCAGCAACACTCTCTTCCTTTCCTCACAAACAACAATGCCATGTATATTGTACAATATACAATATTTTAAGTACACGAATCTACATTTTCTACATAAAAGTTCATTTTCTATAAAAATGTTGACTAATACCTTAACATGGTGTAAATCCACTCCATACATGGATAGTCGCTTGGCATTTTCTATGAATTGGGCATCTGCCTGTGCTGGAGTCAAACCCCTGCAAATATTTAGAAAAGAAACATAAAAAACCAAAGTTACGTTATGCTGTGTTCTTATTAGTATATAAAAACATAGGCCTTGCTACCCAGACCATGGTCTATCTAAGCCAGTATTTTGTCTCGAGATACGGCCAGTTTTGCAAGGAATAGCACTGCTTTGAATACCATCCATTTTAAACATCTCAAACAATGTATCATTCATGCTGAAGGTGAGTCCATTTTCAAATATAATCACTTCCAGTCTTTGCAAAACTGTAAAAACTATCAAAACATACTGGAGTGTTACATCAAAATCTGATGTTGGTTACCAATAAAGGGAAATGCTCTGGTGTTTTGCGAACATCTACTATTTAAGTAAGAAAAGAACCGAACTTGCTCTTGAGGGATTCAAACTTTATTATCTCTCAAAATGAAGAATAGCCAGGGCTACTGCTTTTATGAAAATCCTAATGAAGTAATAAAGATGTTTGACTCAAACAATACTCCCTGCATTGTTGAACATCTTTTTTGCAGCTTCTTTGATGTAATCAAGAAGGGGGGGGGGGATCCCTAGTTTCTAGTCATCTTTGTTTTAAAATTTCCAAATAGTACTCAGAAACAATTTCATAACCATATGGAAGCTGAGAAATATCTTGCATTTTTAAGTTCCTGTGTTCCTATGAACTTTTTCCATATGTTTTACTGTTATGCTTATTTGTATCCTGCAAATTAAAACTTTGTTGCTACTGGTTCTTAATTGCACCTTGCCCTCTGGGAAATATTATGGGATCTTTCTCCCAAAACTTTATTCTAACACTCATTTCCTTTTCTCCCCTTGTAGTGAATGATTGAAGTTTATTATTTTCATTATTTTTTCCTTTCTCTCCTTATTTATTTGTATGCTATTAATAACAATCTCTTGATTAATTTACCTATTTATGAGGGAGTGGCAGAGTTATATTACATAATGCCTGACTACAGCCTAGGGCTATATATTTTGTTTTTAATTGCATGAGCATTATTTGCCACAAGCAAACAAAAATGCATACAAATCAATTACTTGGAACATGACGCACCTGTGTGTCTTGTGTAATTCTACTACTTTATCCTCCAACTCTTTTGTCTGGTTAGGTGCAAACTGGAATTCCTGTATGTAACCACTATCATGTTCCTCGGGATCAAAGTCACCTAGTTCAGCTTGTAAAGTATATGAACCAAGCAGAGCATGGGTCACAAAAGAGCATGGTAGACGTCCAGAAGCAATATCCTCACGAAGCTGCAAACAAAGGAAGTACCTAGGAAAAAGAGCAATGATAATTGTCTGACAAATGTTATTTGTTTGTTTCCTTTTTATCCTATTCCCTTTATTACTTTATACGTAACTCAAGTTAGCGAACATTCATGATACTCCTTCCTTTTATTTTCCCCACAAAAGCTTAATATTTTTCTCTATTTTAATACTTTAAAAATCTACATCAAAAGCAATCTGCAAACACAGAAATTATTTATTATTAATAACTTATTTCTTTATTAATAACTGCAAAAACCCCTGAATATATCCTATTTCTCATATTAAGCTGGAAATTATACTATCAGTGAAGTCTTAGTGCAATTATTCTGACTACTAGTTTTTAAATAGTATACTTCAAAAACACACGCACACATCATCTTTAACCACAACCATAGAAATGTCAGAGTTATAATAGTGTTTCCTCCTGATTTGCCCAGGTTATGATCTATGTTTTGAATATCTGCAGTGGATTCAATATTGTTGCTTTTCTGCTTTAACTTATTCTTCTGTTTTCAGTAAAAACATTGCCATTAGATGATTAATTTTTCTTAAATGACATTTATCTGCAGTTAATTATTTGTATATACATTTCTATACTAGATTTATGAAAAATACTACAAATCAAACACAGAGGAAAGTAATAGCAGCTAATAACTTTTTTTGAATTTGGTCATTTTCTTTAGGCTTATGAAATGTAATATTTTACAGATTTTCCAAGAGACCCTAATTAATGTAGGATTTCTACTCAATAATGCTTAATAGCATACCTGGTGATTTCTTCTGTTAATTGTGAAGGGTCAGGTGGATAAAACTTCACATTAAAGGTGAACTGCCATGGCAAATCTACATTTAACACATTCCCGAGAGAATACATGGGAGAAAAAATGAAAACATTCAAAGTAAACATTATTTTTATCCACAACTAGGAAAAAAATGTAGACACTAAGGATGGGGAGAGAAACTCTTTTGTAAGAAACTCTTTTGTTTATATTGTGTAATTACTAATATGCCAGATTTTAAATTGTTTTGCCCATACCATTTGAGATTAATGCATCTCCATGTGTCTGAGGTCTGTAGAGAATCCTTGTATTTACTCTCAATTATTTTGCATAAAAGCATTCTTCCTCCCTCCACCCCCACACCAATGTCTTAAAGCCTGTACTGGAATTACCACTGGTAACGCATTGAAGTAAAAAGTTAAGCCATACGAAATCTTCATCTTTACTGCTGCAATTCATCTAAAACACTGAAATATTTTGAAGCCCAATTTCTATTTTCTTAATTTCTTGCATGCTGGTACTATATATAGTTTTATATCAATAGATATATAGCTATATATGTATTACTGATATTTTAGTAATAGTAAATTCTAAATATTTTTAAGATATTTATATACTTGGAATAATTAAAAGTATGAAAATTTCCTTTTGAATTTTTGGGAGTGTATGAAACAGTATCAGATGTGATTTATGAAAATTAACATCTTGTCCTGGCACCTCTGCAAATTCCTTTAACTCCTACTTAGTATAGCGGGTTGAGTAAGAAGTGTTTGGGAGAATCAAAATCATATAATCTGAAAATAGATTTAAAAGCTATGTCTTACCTCCCATTTTCATCCCACAAATCTGATTACTGGATCTAAATGCTATTGCCAACACTTCTATGGCTAGGTTGGATAATAAAGGGGATAAAGAGCAATATTGTTGGTACCTCTTAAATTTGTAATTGAATCTGAATCATAATTATTAAGTCTTACCTGAACTTTAGATCGTTCATAAATATATATTTATATTTAATTAATATTTGTATTAAAATTATATTTCCAGACAATCAAAACTTTTAATATATCTAAATAACAAATAGCTAGGGAAGATTGATTTTACTATATTGTATAATGTTTAATAATTTCTTGATGGGATAGATGCATTTCAACTTGAAACAAAGACAAATTGATCCATAAGAATAATTTTACCTATAATCAGTTAATTAGCTAACAGTTTGGTGTACAGTTTACAGTCCATAATAAGAAATGAAATGCACCTATATGGTGCCAAATCCTGGAAATCTTTGTCCAACTTAAGGATCACATTTATATTAGACTGCTTCCAAGACTCTAGAAAAGGCCTTGGTGCAAAGTATTGCATAAAAATAAAAATTCAGGCATTAAAATATCTTTAAATTTTTTTATAAAATCTCCTGACAATCCATAAGGGCCAGGTGAAATAGAAAAAGTAGATTCTATAAATTGGATGTCTTCTGGAGCCAATTCTGAGACTGTTAGCCTATTTCAATATTGATTTTTACTGGTGATTCATTATTTGAGGAATTGTTAAAAAAAACTAAAATTGTTCACTTGATTTTTACAAGGGCTTTATGGGAGGTCACTGTAGTTGAAGGTCATCTCTAAAACACAATATGACTCATTATCAGAGAAGAAAACCATTGCTAATGATTAAAGGAAGCCAATTTCATTCATGGTTCCCTCCACCTGTCCATATTTTTATGTCTATTTTTTATTTTTATTTTTCTAAATTTTATGTTTCATTATTTTTCAGTAATATTTGTTTTCATAATGCAAATACTTTAATATTTGATCTGTCTAAGATTACTCTATTGATAATGAACTATATAGATGCAGAACAATGAATTGTTAAAACTCCCGAGTTGCTATACAAGCAATCATTAAAACAGACTGTACAGGTGGCACCCATTTGTAGCGCTTCTGTTCCAGATGAACAACAGTGGATAATGAGATTGTGAAACAAGTACTATAAACGTGCACAAAAGCCTTTTCATCATTTTCCACATGAATAAATATACAAAGGGAGGCAAAAAGCATGGACAACAAGGGACACTGTACATATTGTTTATTTGTCTGCATAACACCTTGTGAGCAGCCTCAGAACTCCTACAAAATGCTCACAATAAAAAAAACGTAAAATATACCAAAATGAAAGAAATGTGTTTAGCTAAAGGTAAAGTAACAGGCAACTTGATCAGTATGTTCCAATCCCAAGAGTTACAAAGGAGGAGAAAAAATTCTTGCATTCTTTATATGAAAATCAAAATAGGATTAATAGACATTGTAACCCTAATACCAGATTAGATTGTGCAGTTTACCAAATGAGCTTTGGAGTATTGTGCCAGACTGATAAAGTATTTGCATCTGTTCACTTTTCAAAAGCCTGATTTTTCTAGGAACTTTTCTAACAGATGTCTTGGAAAGTTTACCAGAACCTAAGACAATATATACTGATAAATATTTAATCTAACTCTTTTTATTCTAGAAAGATCTAGATTATTTAACACTGTGCACACTGAAGAAGATTTCTAACAATTTTAATCTTAGCATATTTATAAATACAGTAAATACAGTATTATAAACTTCAGAAATTTTTATTATATATCTCAGTCTTAAAGCATAGAAGAGAGCCATCTGTTTTAGTATTTAAGCAATAAAAACAAACAAAAAGTCAGGATTTCAGCCCCATTTTTACATCCCACCAAAGGAGTTAGCTCCCTTCCATTCATAGAGGTGAGCCGAAATCCTTTGGCAGGCAGCTCTTTCAGTCATCCCCCTGAAACAAGAAAGAGCTGAAATCCAAGTCTAGTGCATGGAAGATAACTTGTTCAGCTCCATTTCTGCACCCTACCAAAAGAGTTCAGCTCCCAGCCCCCACAGATGAGAAGGATTTTTGGGGGGAATCCAGCAAGAAAGATTGCAAATGGCGATCACATGATTGTGCAGCGCTTTGCAACAGTTGTGAGACCAGGTTGTCAAGCATCCAGATCACAATCACATGGGGATTATTGATGCATCATTATGTGACAACCAGAAATACTTTAGGTTGTAAAGCACCCTTCCTGAGGTCATTGTAATTCCAGATTATTGTTAAATGAACAGTCGTATATCAAGGACTACCTGTAGTGTGACAATAAAAGATATGACCGGGGCACTTACTGCGAATTTGCTTCTTGATATCCTTTGAAATATCAAGCCAATTCTAAAAAAAAGAAATGACACATAATGAAAATAAAACATTTAATGTGTGTTTTATAGTGTAACTATTATTGATTCATTCAAAATCAGTATATAATACTCTGATAATTTTTCATCTATCAATTTCTTAAACTGCCTCAACCACTGAAAAGCTTGGGCTTACTTGTTAGGATTTAAACAGCTACAGAAGTAATAAAATACAAAAACTGATAGTAATAGGTGGTCCCACATCCTGGAAATTCACCAACTGAAAACTATTATTAGCAATAAGCAATAAACTGTCAGTGAGTAAATCAATGAACCCCTCCTATCTCTATTGGAAGAGTCACACTTCCACGGCTTTAAAAATCTCAACAGCACTGGGGTCATATGAAAGGGGAAATGATGTTTCACAAGATAATACAGCTACAGAGAAGGCATGGAGTAGCCTCACAGTGAGAGAGGTGGCAAATAAATTTAACAAATAAATATTGCCTAGGTCTCACAAAGTCACAATGCTTTATAATTGGGATGTGAAATGTGCCAACCCTTACAGATTTTATTGAATAGGAAGAGATGACAAGAGAAAGACTGCCCTGCAGATAACCAAGTTCTAGGCCATCCAGTGCTCAATAAGACAGAATATCTTGAACTGCATCCAGAAACTGGCTGGTGTCTTCTGCAGCTTGTAGAGCAGAAATGTTACATGGACAAAAAAGGAACATCCATAACTATTTGTGTAGCCACGTTCTAAACCAGTTGTGGCATCTGAGTTCAGGGGAAGCACCACATAGAATATTTCACAGGATTGAGCATGAAGTGATTAAGGCATGAGTGCTGTAAGAATGGCCTGCCAAGGATACAACTGTCACACAAGATAAATTTGTTCAAAGGCCTTCTTGCCATTACTGCCATTTTCTCTCTGAACTAGGATCTGAGAATCCAGGAAGGCTCTCAGAAAGAGATTGTGATTTAAATTGAGTTACATCGATTTTTTTTACTTTCCTTTATGTTAATTTCTTCATTCATTAAAAAATGTCCAATTTCCATATACTTCACTATTTATCTTTTTTTTAATTTTGAAAAAACTTTAATACAAAAGGTTAAAATATACAAATGTTACTTCACTATTTATCAATGGTAGGCTCTGAGTAGTCAAAATAGTTATCTTTCATTCTGCAAAAGTAAGAGTTTACTATTTGCTATACAATTATAAAATGTTCCTGAAACTAGTAAGATAATATTCACACAACTGATTTGTTCAAATTCTCTCACTGTAATTTTTGGGACAGACACAATTCTTTGAAAAATGGTCCTAACTAAATCATAGACCTACGAAGCAATTTTATATGCGGGCAGTAGTATCTACAGGATCTAATACTTCCATCATTTTTACTTATTTAAGATTTTTGCATTGATGAAAGCAGTGTTGTGCTGATGCTTTTTTATTGTCCCCTCCTTTCTAGATATGAATAAAGAACAATTTTTATCTTGGATAAGTTGCTGAGCAAGAAAGATGATTTTCCTTCAGGATAGGATATGCACATCAAAGATAGAAACAAGGAGATAACTTTGTAAACCAGATGGAAAACTCAGAGACAGATGTTCCCTGTGCCTATATTAACTGACAATGTAAAATTATTATCTATATATACAAGCAAGCTATTTGTTTTTTTACTGAAGACTATAAAATGAAAACAAATGTCTCATATTTTTCCTGTCTGTGGCTTTCTCTCTAGCTGAGGATTGCTAGTGAGCTAGCTGTTTGTTTATAAAGTCTTTCTCCTTCATAAATCACTGTCTTTTCATGAGCCAAGTTAAAGGGCATAAAAATGTTTTTTAAAAAAACAAAGACCTCAAGTGTCTTAAGATTTTGTTATTAGATTTTACGGTCATAAAAGATAATTTAATTGCTTCTTCAAATATGCAGATAACATGATAGAATTTCCTTTTAGATTAGGTTGCCTTTTACTGTTTTCCTCCTTATAAATTAATTTTCTATAGTTTTTTCTGTGCTAATTCATGAAAACAACAGTTTACTGAAGTTCAGTATCTCTATAAACATAGAACACCAATTAAAATTAAAATAAAATGCATTTAATCCTTTACAAAGCAGGAAATCTAGTTTTCACAATTAATTATCCATGTATAAGATACTTTTTTTCGATGAAAAACCTTTGAAACACAGGTTTTTCTCGCAAATAAATAAAAATATTTTTATTGTCTTCTGTATACTAGTAAAATGCTCATACCGTCTACCTCCTAAGACTGTACAAACTTAAAGAAATCCAGCCAATATGACAACATGCTATCCCAGGTATTGGGATAGACTCTAGATAATCACAGGAAGAGTTCAACCTCTGGCAAATTTGAACCACGTCGTTGGCTAAATACTGTGAAAAACTGTCAAAGCTGCCAAGTGGAAGATAACACTCTCCCAAACTGCGGGATGCCACCCTAAACAAGCCAATCAGGCATCAGCTCATCAATGCTTCTGTTACCATCACAATGCAGGTCTGAACCTGAACTTGTATTCAGACAGATTTACTGTCATTTTTTCTCTTGGAGCTCCTTAATAAACCAAGGAGCCCATCAGACTTAGAAGCAAACTCATTAAAGCTTCCTGTTCCCAGTCGTTCATTATAAAAGCAACAGAACTGGCTGCCAAATTGTTGAGATATTCCCGAAGTGTCTTCGGAAATCTCTCTAGATCCACATGAGGCAGTCTATTGTATTAAATTTGCTTGCCCACTGCAGGGCATAGTTGACAGTCAATTTTATTTGAACCAAAAAATCACCTGACCACAGCAGAAGGCTCAAGGTAATTAATACTCTTTTTATCCAGATTGTTAATTATCTGCTTTTAGATGAAGACAAGATCTAGTATATGACCATTGCATACATTGGGGTATTATTAATTCTCCAATGTATGCAACTAATTCCCACAACACTGTCAAACTACTTAGTAAGACTGCATTACTATTATTCTTTTCATCTTTCCTATTACCTATTTCTTCCTACTTATGACTATAACAGTGTTGCCTGTATCTTTACAATTTATATTGTTTTATTTGTTTCCTAGTATGATTTGATTGCTGATCAGTAAACTATGACTATCACTAAGTGTTGTATCTTATGATTCTTGATGAATTTTATTTTTTCTTTATGTACATTGAGAGAATATGCACCAAAGACAAATTCCTTGTGTGTCCAATCACACTTGTCCAATAAAGAATTCTATTCTATTTTATTCTATGTTTACATAAGATCTAGCATACAACCATTTACATATATTGGGGTGGAAATTACAAGTGGTCACTATTGCATTTACAAATTCCTGAGCCTTCCTGGAAGCCTAGAATGAGGTCCCCCAACAAATAATAGGAGAGCAACACTGGCCCTAAGACTAGATCTATAAACTCAGCAAGAGATCCTACCAAGCAATCTTTGTCTTCTAAGGAAACAAAGAGATAATAAAGTTTTTCTATCATATCATTTCTGCAGTCAAAAACCGATGAGAAATGGAATCAAGTCTTTTGACATATAAAGCAATGGCGGGGCAGACTCCTAAACAGAATATAGTGTAAGAGTAAGACTCCTCTGTATGATATAAATTACAGGGCTAGAACTACACAGATCCAATCCTTTCCTCCTTGTCTATTGTACAAATCACCACTTAGCCAAACAGAACTCCAATACTTCAGGAAAACGAGAAGGATATTTCTTATGTCTCATCTTTTGTTAAATCTTTTTACATTTCTGTGTAATGAACAACTGGTTCTTTTCTGTACCCAAAGTTAAAACTTGTTAACCTATCAGATCTTATATGCAAGTATACCCCATAAGACAAGATTATCAGCGACTGTTACATTCTAATTAATTGTTCAAACACTGATGATGTTAATTTATTGCAAATGTATTTTTAAAACAAAAGTGAAAATTAGAGTTCAAATGCTTTCAGTCAGCATTCTCTCCTTCAGCTGATCACATCCATACAGCATCTAGTCCAGGGGTCCCCAAACCCCGGGCCATGGATCAGTATCAGACTGTGGCTTGTTAGGAACTGGGCCACCCAGATGGAGGTGAGCAGCAGACAAGAGAGCAAAACTTGACCTGTATTTACAGCCGCATCACCACCTCAGATCATCAGGTATTAGATTCTCATAGAAGCACAAACTCTACTGTAAACTGCACATGCAAGGTTTCTAGGTTGTGTGCTCCTCCTCCCCCACCCTGCCCCACCCAGGGAAAAATTGCTCATTCAAAATATGACAGCAAGAGATAGCATTATAGTTACCCCTTTTCTGCTCAGAAATCTAGGCTCCGGACTATAAAAGACTTAATGTTCAGTAATAAATTTCCATATATTACAAAAGTTCCCAGTCTTTTAGAAGTCATTTTTACACATTTAATACATACCTTCTGATCTGTATGGTCTTGGAATAGCAAGCCAAAATAGTCCCTTTCCAGTAGGTTAAGATGTTCACATACTTTGTCAAACAACACCTGCCCTTTTGCTTTTTTCTAGGAAAAAATAGGATAAATTAGTGAAACATTTATATAATACAATGAGAAATATATTTTATTTTAAAACACACGAATACCAAAGAAAACTACTCTGTATTTGTTATCACTGGTTTCAATTTGCTATTTCAGAAAATAAATCAAAAGTGAATAGATACTTCATAGTCTATCCCCAGCACAAAGGAAAGCGCTAATTAAAACCAATGGAGGGGAGATATTTATTTGGATAACTGAAATTTAAGTAGGACAAATGAAAACTCAGCAGTAATTCTTAAAATCCTGAAATACAGGTGTATCTTTAGGAATCATCAATGTCTCTTAAAACTTTTTTTTAAAGGAATCAAATATACTGTATATACTCGAGTATAAGCCTAGTTTTTCAGCCCATTTTTTGTGCTGAAAAAACCCCCCTCGGCTTATACTCGAGTCAGATTCCCCTCTGAAAAAAAAATGGTGTGGAGCTCTGGAGCTGGGCAGCCGCTTCCCTGCTTCCGTGTTTCCTTTGCAACTTGTAAGCATGGGGGTAATCGGAAGCAGAAAAGTTCTTGCATGAGGATATATTGTTTTTTCTTTTTTTAACTGTTTTTAGGGGGGGGGAAAGACCCACCATCATGTGAGAATGCTCAGACACGAAATCTATCCTCTCGAAAATAAGTGTGTGTGTGTGTGGGGGATTTTAACAGAGGGAAGACGTAGGGAGAAGGCAAAAGCAACGGAAGATCCTTCTGGGGAAACTGAGGGGGAGACTCACCCTTGGTCCAGATGAGCCCCCTTCCCCGCCCCTAAGGAAGCAGAGGCAGCCAGCAAGGGCAGGCAAGCCCCACTTCGTGGACTCCAGCCGTCCTCGCTCCCACCCAAAGCCACGAAGTCCCCCAATCGCGCAGCCCAGATTCGCCCTCCCCTCAGGGGGCAGCAACGACGCCCGGTGTTTCCCGAGACAAGAAGCTCCGCCGTGCAATGAAAGCGCCCTGGCTCTAGGCTCGCGGGCTCAGAAAACAACCCGAGCCGAGGTGGCTTCAGCTCCGCTTGGCTTCGTTTCCTCAGCCCCAGCTGCTTTCAGTCCACTCAGGAGGAGGAGGAGGTGGTGGTGTGGTGGTGGCTCGCGTTGTTTTCTGAGCTCTAGGCTCGGCAGGCTGTCCTAGAGAAAGTTTTTATTGGTATCTATTTTTATTTTTGAAATTTACCAGTAGCTGCTGCATTTCCCACCCTCGGCTTATACTCGAGTCAATAAGTTTTCCCAGTTTTTTTGTGGTAAAATTAGGTGCCTCGGCTTATATTCGGGTCGACTTATACTCGAGTATATACGGTATATAGTTTGTTATCTGAGGACTTGCTAATTATTAAATACAGATAGTCCTCAACTTACAACTATCATTTATCATCTGTTTGAAGTTACAACGGGGTACGAAAAGTACTTGCAATCCAGATTTCTGAGTACCGCACGCCTCCATGGTCATAAGACAGCATTTCAGGGACTTTTGCTACATACTCAGCCTTGAATTATCTGATATCTTGGTAAGTTGCCCAAACCTCATTATTTTTGCTCTTTGTTTTAAACATTAGACTTATGAAAGTCTAATGATTTTGATTTAAATATTTAAAACAACTGTTAGCCATCAATGTACTATTGTCTAATGTTAGATTTGTAGTGAAGAAATGTAACACTTAAGTGATTTATAGAATCTTATTTCCATTCATTAGTTTTCCTTTTCTTTTTGCATTAAATATAACCTTCAGATGCATTCACAACCATGACCATATAACCTCAATAAAAGTTGAATTGATTAGAAGATAATAAAAGTTACTAGAATGATTCAGAGTGGCTAAGTGAAACATGAAAGAACCAATATTTTTCAAGTCACCTTAACAAAAGAGATACAACCCCAACTACATAAAAATAAAAAGAATAAAATCTTAACATTTTAAAGAATATAGGTGATAGAAGAAATCTATCAGAAACAATTGCTTTGATTGATAATATTTTCATATGACACAAAATGTCAGAGAAAGTTGTATTATTGTTTTAAATACTTTGGGGCAGCAAAAGTATACAACAAGCAAACAGAAAATTTCAAAAGGTTTGTTTTTTTTGTCTGCATTGAATATTGTATATAATTGTATTAATAATAAATTAATAATTAGTACTATTAAATAGTAATAATTTTATTAATTAATATTAATGAAATGCAGTAAGATACATATATAACCCTGAGTGTAAATATCCAAAAGAGAAAATTTAGGGCATTGAAAATACTGTAGTTTGATTTGAATTAATAAATGAGAATAGACAACTCGCCTTTCTGGCTTTTCAAGATTTATCGAAACACTGAAATAGTGTCTGCTACTGGCAGAATTCAAGAGGTGCAGTATGGTGCCTTTCATTTTCACGCAAGTCCTACATCCCCATTTGGCTATTTATGGCTTTTAAAAAGCAACTATAATGTGACATTTCAGAGACCTGGCAACTGAAAGACATTTTTGCAATTGCTTATCACGCAGATTTCAGTAGACGCCACTGCAATTCCAGAGAAGTCCCTTTCGAGTGCCTATGTGTAGGCTCTTGCAACACTAAAGTTATTGTGCCTGACAGTCAGAGACAGAAAGCTTTAAACTGAACGGATTATCTATGCTGTTGAGCTATGTGCTACACAGTAGTTGTGAGAAACACTGTACAAATACAAAGGACAAGGGAGAAAAGGTATGCAATAAAACTACCAAGCTCAATAAAAGCATTGTTTGTTGTCCAAAAGAAATCAAAGCACATTCATACCGAACTGAACTGCTCAATTTATATTCAGCATTTACAATTTTAACTAGATCATTCAGTTTTATATCTCATCAGCTGAAACGCAAGGAATAATACAAATAAACCCCCTGCAACGCAAAACTATTTCTAATAATATACTCAGGTACAATTAGGAGGCTAGTTTTTTAACTTGTATTTTCTGCTCAATAGATTTTACTTGTCGCCTTACATGTTCAATTTATCATTTAAGCAGGACTTTAAAATGTAATAACAAATAAATCCAAGAAATTAAATAACCTGGTTTAAATTGGATTAAATATGTAGAAAGTTCCAGTTTAGACTTGTATTTAAAAAAGGACATCCATGTGCCAAATATATTAAATTGAAATACATTTTATTTCTTATGTAAAAAACTTCAAAAAGGTTTAGAAAGGAGTGAAATATTTTTGGCTATAAAGTTAGCTATCACACAATCACATAAGTCATGTACTGTTATTATTATTATGCTTCCTACTGAAGTAGCTACTAAATCTTCAGTGTCCAGAAGATAGTCATAGTGTACATAATCAGTTAAATATTGTATTCTTATTTTGTGCTTCTGATGCTACATTTTTGCTTTCCAAATAGTATTTAAGATTCTAGTAAATAAAACCCTGGGTATTTTCCATTTCACTATAAATACAATTTTGTCAAATGACTCTCAGCACTTATAAAATCCAATTTGCCACCCAATTTTACTTGGTATGATTACTCAAGCTTAGGTTTCAAAAACATCATTTCACTTGGCAGGTTACCATTCAAAATTCTCTTATATGAGCAAAAATTCTATAACGTACATGCATTATATGTCCATTATAATCTTGGGTTGTATTTAGTTAACAGTATTTTGTTAAAGGTACAAATAAAAAAATGTTAGTATTGTTGAAGAGTTTGTTAGAACAATCCAAAGGAAATGTACTCATGCTGAGAAAATATTGATCTTAAATTTATCATCTATCATTTAAAAACTGATTTTTAAGAAAATATTTAAATAAATTCTCTTTAATTGGACCAATGAGCCATCATGGACTAGTATTGTGGATCAGCAAAATGACAATGTTTAGCAGAAAAATGGCATAAACTGAATTTTAACTGCTGGAAGCTTCTCAGTGGTATTTTGTATTAAAACATCAATGTGAAAAACTGTCAGAAGGGATGTTTTATATATAGCTTTAGTCTATCTCAAGTTTAAAATGAAAATAAAACAAGTATGTTATTTCATTTATGTTATTATAGCTATGTTTCTAAATCTAACACAATATATTCCTGATTGCCAAATCTTTTTACAGAAAACACAGTTTGAGACAAGAAAAATACTTGGAATAATTTAAACAGACTTTATAGGTTTTAAACTATAAATAAAAGATTTTATTTTAGCATTTTGCTGGAACAAAATAAGATTGACTGAACAACCTTCATGTTTAAAAACATGCCTGATACAACTTATTATGGCCAGGAAATAACTGGCAAATTGTAAGACATATGGTACTTGAGCATTTAATTTTTTATAAGATAGCAAGTGCAGTCTTGCATTTCAATCAAGCATACTACAAAATCCTTGAAACAGTTATGTCATGCCCAATACACTTCAGTTGTTCAGACGTGCATAAAATATATCCATGCAGTCATATTTAAATGTCCTTGTCATAACATTTTAATTAGAACAGAATGCCCTGAGTAGAACGTTCTGATGAAAATTTTATTTGCTTTGGAAAGAGTTTTTACAATACGTCAGCTTGCCTAGGTCTCATTATGGCATTCTTTAGACTTGATAAATAGTTATATGATTGGGTGCCTAAAATGAACTATAATAAAGCTTGTACATAATCTCACACATATATTTAGATATTTTAATTCAATAAAAAAAGGTGCAGTTACTGGATTTAGTATTTTCTACTTATTAACAAATACTATGTCCTATGTTCTACTAAATTGCAAATAAGCAAGAATATAGGGCAATGAAAATATTAAATATTAACATTTATTCCTCTTTCATAAGACTGGAAGTAATTCATCTATAAGAAGGAAGCAGGGGCAGAGAGGAAGCTAGAAATAGTCTGAAACATATCTGAGAAAGTACAGCATTAATATACCGATATAAGATAGATAGATAGATAGATGGGGCGTTGGAACTTACCTGACACACCCTTTCTCTGTGAGATGTGAAGAGCATCCATTGTTTGGGATAATGCTTCTGTCGCTCATTTGACAGGCT